ATTACTTGAAGCATGTGGAGGTGCTTTTCGATATCCTTTTTTTAATCAATAAGCAGTGATTGGTGCTGCTGTATTTTGAACTTTACATGTTTTATCTTCTAATAAGAATGTTTATTTATCATATTATTCCACTCTTGTATGGAATATAAATGCTTATCCCTTTAAGATTTTTAGGTAAGGTTGTCTTTGTAAGATTTTTGGTGTATTGTTGCAGATGAGGTTACATGAAGAACATGAAAGATGCTTACTCTACCTCGATGCTCTTACAAGAAAGCCACTCATAGCAACAGCAGAGAGGCAACTTCTTGAACGTCATATACCTGCCATTCTTGATAAGGTGCAAATATGAATCTTCAGTTGTTATTTACTCTTTGTATACCTGCTTGGATTTGCATCTTTTTAGTAGTTATAGTTTCTCTGATTTTTTCAGGGATTTATGATGCTGATGGATGGGCATCGTATTGAGGACCTTCAGAGGATGTACTCACTATTTTCAAGGGTCAATGCTCTTGAATCACTCAGGCAGGCCCTAAGCTCATATATTCGGAGAACTGGGCAGGGCATTGTCTTGGATGAAGAGAAAGACAAGGACATGGTGCCTTCCTTGTTAGAATTCAAGGGTTCACTTGACTCGATATGGGAAGAAAGCTTTTCCAAGAATGAGGCATTTTGCAACACCATCAAGGATGCATTTGAGCATCTAATTAACCTTCGTCAGGTTAGCATGTTTTGTCATTTGTAGTAGGACATTAGTTTATTTATTTTTAAGTTGCATTCTTGTTGTTAAGTTTTAAGTTGGTGAAGTAATATTCCTAATTTAGAGTACCATGCTTTCACACTCGACTGATGGTTCAACTCTGTGCGTCTTTAATAGAATCGACCTGCTGAGCTGATCGCAAAGTTTTTGGATGAAAAACTCCGTGCTGGTAATAAGGGTACTTCTGAAGAGGAATTAGAGGGTACACTTGATAAAGTTTTGGTTTTATTTAGGTTCATCCAGGTAGAGTTCATGTTTGCACATTATAAATCATTAATTTTGCTTTCGCCTTGAAACAGTTCTCTTTTTGTGCACTACTGTCTTGCTTTTATTGTCCTATAAATTAATGCTAGAGATGTGAATGATGTTTTTGTTGATAATTAAGGGCAAGGATGTCTTTGAAGCATTCTATAAGAAGGATCTTGCAAAACGGCTGTTGTTAGGAAAGAGTGCTTCTATTGATGCAGAGAAATCCATGATTTCTAAGGTCAGTATCTTTTTCTTTTGCATCAGATGATGTTTGTTCTACATATTGTATTAAATTGTTATATTGTTACGATGCTGCAGCTGAAGACTGAGTGTGGCAGCCAGTTTACAAACAAACTTGAAGGAATGTTCAAGGTATGCCTATATATCTTTTTCTATAAATTTGTCCAAGAAATGCAGTCAGTATAAGTTGCCACTGGAATTTCTAGTTAGAGCTGGTGCTTTTTAAGTCTGAAAACATGGGCAGTTCAATAACTCTTATAAGTTATAACCGCTAGGAACATGTTAACCTAATGCTGGTGGTATTGGCACCTGGAGTGTTATATCCCCTGACATGAGTTGGATAACTCTGATTAACCCTCGCAAACAGTATGTAATGATTATGTAACAAAAATATTCTTATTGTGCCTTTAGGATAGATCATGCAAATGAATATTAAAGTGATAGAATCATGTGAGAAGAGAAGAGGAAAGGATTCTGGAAGTTAAATTCATCTTTTGTTTTTAGGCTTACCAACTTGTTAATTGGTCAATTGCAGATCCAACAATCTACTGAATTGATGGAGTTGTGATACTGGAACTTAGTGCTATGTGATTGGATTCTTGTGCCTAGAATATGTTTACACTGCAAACCACTTTTACTCTTAAATTGTTTATACTTTGGTATCAGAGTAATTGGAAACTAGGAAGAACAGCCCATTGACAGGCACATGTGAATCTCCTTTCCAGTTACACTATGTTTGAGCCAAAATAGCAATATATATTAATTTAAATGTGGTATTAATGCAATTGCTGCCTAGATAATGGGCTTGTGTTAGTAAGCGAATCACCTCATGATCTATGATTGATCTCACTGCATGTGGTTTTATGGCAAAGAGGCCTTGCTCTTTCCCTGAAGTCATTTGCTGAACTTGACGAGGGAGGATGGACTTGGAAGATTCTTTGCAACTTCAAATATGTCTGTCATATATTTTCACGAAGAGTCCTTCCCTTCATTGTGTGTTTATGTCCGTGCGTGTTTGGTTTGATTGGCGAGCGATTGCAATATGACTCATAATTATATTGAGTGTGGAATCTTGTGATTTTTATCCAGGATATTGAACTATCGAAGGAGATAAATGAATCATTCAAGCAGTCATCCCAGGCCCGGATAAAACTTCCATCAGGAATTGAGATGAGTGTCCATGTCTTAACAACAGGGTAAAATCATGTTTCACCATTATCTTATTTTAATTAGTCATAACTGCAATTATCAATTAGTTTATTGTCGAGGTATTTAACTCTGTTTTGGTTGTTGAGCTGCAGGTACTGGCCCACATATCCACCTATGGATGTTAGGCTTCCACATGAATTGAATGTCTATCAGGTATGGTTCAGCCTTCAGGATGAAATGTTCACCCTTATGGACACCAGCAAGTTTTTATTTACAGTTGCCTAACACCTTTTCTTCAACTTGGTGTAACAGGACATCTTTAAGGAATTCTACTTAAGCAAGTACAGTGGGAGGCGCCTAATGTGGCAAAATTCATTAGGTCATTGTGTGTTGAAAGCAGATTTTCCTAAAGGTAAAAAGGAGCTGGCAGTTTCCCTATTTCAGGTTGGTGTCTTGGTGTTTCGGGGACCATTGTTCTCCTGTTGTAGTGTTTGTTCTGTTTTCAAATTTTCTCTACAAGCAGACAAGTTCTAACAGTTTTCTGGTTTTCTTGTCTTTACCTCTAGACTGTAGTTCTGATGTTGTTTAACGATGCCCAAAAGCTTAGCTTTCAAGACATTAAGGACTCCACTGGCATAGAGGATAAGGAATTGAGAAGAACCTTGCAGTCCCTTGCATGTGGCAAAGTACGAGTCCTTCAAAAGGTATGTGCCCATTGCATTATTGCACTTTCAAGTTTAATTTCTTATTTGTGCTGGTAAGTTGGTAACATTATTCTTTTTTCTTCCTCCCATTTTCTTTATTCCTGTATATCTTTGAATTTGTTTGCTGTAGTTGCCAAAAGGGAGGGATGTGGAGGATGATGATTCATTCATTTTCAATGAGGGATTTACTGCTCCTCTCTATCGTTTAAAGGTATATCTATTTGTAATTTCAAACTATGGTGGGTAAAGATTTTTTGTTAGATTAAACTACATGCCTGTCATGCTTACCTCCATGCTATGCCACTAAATTCCCTGCAGTTTTATTATGAATACTGTGTGATTGCTACTCACATAATATGGCATCAAGATGACATTGCCTTTTGTGATGCAGGTAAATGCAATCCAGATGAAAGAGACAGTTGAGGAGAACACAAGCACTACTGAAAGAGTATTTCAAGACCGTCAATATCAGGTCCACTTTTTTGCTTCACTCTCACATTCTCTCTTTGTAGTTATCTATTTAAAAAAATGAAAGAAAAGAACAGAAAGTTATCTAACATGAAGGAGCTCAATCAAATGTATGCATTATTGCTTGATGTCTTGCAGGTTGATGCTGCTATTGTTCGGATAATGAAGACGAGGAAAGTGTTGAGTCACACTCTTCTGATAACTGAACTCTTCCAACAGGTAAGCATATTTTGATTGTTTGCGTTGTGCATAAAAGAGGGATATCTAAAGAGTCCCCAGCAACATCTGGAAATAAATAAACAGAAAGTTGGTGCTTCTGTATTCTTACTGAGAGTTATCATGCCAAAGTGTTTTGCTTTATTTGAAGGGTGAAAATTCTCTTTATATACCATGGTTAAATTACTGCAATTGATGATCTCCAGACATGGGGATTAAAGGGATAATGGACTATACTCATATTAAGAATAAGTTTCTTTCGTTGAACAGCTTAAGTTTCCCATAAAACCAGCTGATTTGAAGAAAAGAATCGAGTCTCTCATTGACAGGGAGTACCTGGAGCGGGACAAGAACAACCCACAGATATACAATTACCTGGCATAGTTGACCTTTTTTTTTTTTTCACCTTTTGATGATAGATATCCCCTTGTAAATGACACGGGAAACTCTGGTCTTCTCCCAGAGGCAGGATGATGAAATCCCTTGTCAGATCCATGTACAGTAACTTGTAGTATTTGTTTTGTTGCAATCGAGATTGTAATTGTAAAGCATATTTAGCCTCTGTTTTTTATACTTGTTACGGACTTGACACTTGAGTTACCGGAAATAAGCTGCATTATTTATTTCTTGGGTTGTGTGTGTATGTTTTCCCTTGATTCGGTCATCTTTTATTTTATGGTAAAAAAGGAGGGTGTAGCCGTATGAGGCTCACATCAGATCGGTTGGGGGAACTGAAAAGGTGGGTCATGCCAATCTCTCAATAAGAAAGGTGTATTACCATTATACTTGGTTGTCGTCTTTGCTTATAAGCCCAAGAATCTGTGGCATGACCATGGTTTAACAGCCAACAAATCAAGCATCATAAAATATTAGAATCTGTCGGGTTTGTTTATCCTTTTGGAAGGATATGGGAAGCAGTCTTGAACATGGTACATTGGTACCACTAGGCCTTGCTACAGATTCGAGATTGGACTTTGTTGGAGCTGAACAACCACTAGTGTAAAATTAAATTAAAATCTTGTATGAATTCGAATAATCTCTGGAGTTGATTCACTATTTGATTGGCTCACACCAGACCCGGCAACCCACTCTTTCAATGATGTCGTCATACAACTTTTACTAAATACAAAACTGCACAAGGTTGTAGCCCAGGTTGGGCTGAACTTTCTTACTCGAGATAAGACAAAACCAAAACAATTTTCCGATGGATACTATAATGGATCACCAAAGCCGTATTCATTCATTCAAACATCAACAGAGAAACGCCCTTAAGACATCAACACCATCACCTTGGTGCAAGTTCTTACCAAAAGAAAGACAGGATGAAAGAACAAGTTACAACATTACCCAACTCTTTTTTATTTAAAACGAAAAAAAAAAAAACAAAGAATAAGATATATTTTGAAGCGATCATCAAACGGCTTTGATTGAAGTGGAAGGAGAGGTATCATTATCAGCCTTAGATTCGAGATCTGGGTATGGGTTGAGAGGGGCTCGAACGTTGTTGTCGTTATCGTCGTCGGGGTCGTAATCAGGGTTCAGAGATCGGTCAATGGCTTCGCGGCCTTTCTCGAGGCAAGGCTTGCAAGCGATCTCGATCGCTATCCATCCTAATACCACTCCTGCTATTGCTATCACTGCGCTTGTTATTGCTGCCATTTCCTCTCTCTCTCTCTCTCTCTCTCTCTCTCTCTCTCTAGTAAAGTTAATCAGCTCTGCCTTTCCTGAAAAGTTTTTCAGAATTACTTTGGGTTTTCATGAACTGTTTGGACTTTTGGTTATCAATTGGGTTTAGCCCGTCTGAAGCCCAATCTGTCTTACCATCACATATGCCCTGCTTGATAGCGGGATATTGGGCTCTTGTCGGGGTTTGTTTTACCCTGTTTGTTCCTTGGGCCTTCAACTTTTGGTTCTTGTTTTCGGTTAATTATGAATTCAACTTATTTTTTGTCGAATATTTGGGGTAATATTGTTTAAGATTGTAAATCATTATATATGCTAACAATAAAAAGAATTTTATTAATTTGAGATGAAGTAATTTTCTTTGAAGATATTAGATAAGTTCATATTATTTAAGATTGTAAATCATTATGTGTCTGGTCAACTCATCGGATAAATTTACCATATAAATGAAAAAAATGACATGTATATTTTTAGGTAATCTGGAAAATAATTTTATTTTAGGTAACATCAAATTGTGGTTTCAAATCATTATATATAAGGGCTAATATTTGAAAAGTCCTTAAATTATTTAAAAAAATTCAAATAAACCTTTATATTTTTATTACGTTTAATCAAGTTTTTATATTTTTTGTTTGATTCAAGAATTAAAATTTTATTTTTACTTAAATAAGCTCTTGTGGTTAATGATTAACTTACTTAAAATGTTATTTGTCATTTTATATCACATAGAGCTAACGTAATAGGTTAACATATTATAATTGATTATAATGTGACATGTTGACATATTATATTTAATACTGACATGTGTTAATTTAGAATGATAGTATGATTATGTTATATTTTTACCATTCACATCAATCCCATGTCAGTACCATGTGGATATAAAATAACAAGTGATATTTTTATTACTAATAATTAATCAATCATTAGTTTTAAGATTTATTTAACTCAAAATAAAAATATAAAAAACCTTGATTAAATGCGATAAAAGAATAAAGATTTATTTAAATTTTTTTTAATAGTTTAAGAAATTTTTTAAATATTATGCCTATTAAAATTATAATGCTAAAATTACACTTACTAAAAGATTGGTGGTAAATTTGAACATCAAAATAAGTAGAGTGGTAAATTTAACCTTATCCCTTTGAGTATTTGAGTTTCATTTTATAATAGTTTGCTAATTACCAAATGAAGAAAGAAAAGAGACACTCAAACATTTGATTCATTGGTTAATGTATTATTCTCATATTTAAAGAATAAAGTTCAAATTCATCTTTTTCTAATTATATAAAAATTGTAACGTTTACTAATTTATGATATATAAGGATATCGAACATACTAAACCTACAATAGCCTTCATCTATTTTTAATTTTACGATTGAAAATTAAACCTGATGAAGGAAATAGTAAAGAAATAAAAAGGTTTGAATGCAGCAAAAATATGGATTCATATACCCTCTTTTTCTTTTCCTAGAAGAAAAAGGGGGTTGAACCTTCACTCTAAAGGAAGTTGAAGAGTGATGTTCAAGCAGTGAAGCCTGAAAATTCCTCCATCATGGAGAAGAGGGTCCAATCAGCTTTGTGATGATTCCAACTCCAGTCATCATCAGAAACCCATTGATCTCTCTGTGTGTGTCCAATTTGGCCAAATCCAATTACCCAATCTCAGCAAAAAAAAAAATCAACTGTCCATACAAGCAGTTTCTTGACAAGCGACTGGTCAGCTGGCCAATGCCAATGCAACATCATACAAGAGCAACTCAGACACGATTTCATACCACGTTTTCCCACATACCATTACTACGAAGATTCCTTCTGAAGAAATCCTTATCAGATTTCCAAGAATAAAAATGGAAGTGGTAATGAACTGCATTTGTTGAAGTGTTAAAGGACAAGGATATGCTTTAAAATATTCCTGGAAACAGCTACGACTCGAAATCAGATTCCTTGTTATTTCAAAATCTGCCTTTCTTTTTCCCCATAAGACATGGCTATGCTTGTGGCTTTTGGATGATGCATCAATAGCTTGCTTAACATGTAAGACAATGCTTTTCCAAGATCCCAATATTTCTTAGCTTCCCCATCTAAGACTGTTCTCTGACCACTGTACCAACGTATTCCAGCCATTGGCATGGTGTATACTGACTTCAATTATTGACAATGATTGAAACAAGAACAACAGACATCTTTGATTGAAGTCATGATAATTAGAACACATCCGAGCAATTACAAAGAGATACAGAGAAGATATAAAAAAAGAAGAAGAAAGAACTATGGTTAATACATTTGTTACAATAACACAAAGTCATTACGACTCTACAGCCTTTGTAATTTTGTAGAATTACATTTTATTTAACAAGACAGAAGACAGAGCATTGAATACTTCAGAAGCTAAGCAAACAGAACCTGAGAACTTGAGGGTGTCAAGTCGGATAAACGTTCTGGGGCATCAACAACAAGCCACCGAACACTGAAGCTCTGCTTCTTCTCAGAGCTGCTTGTTCGATTCACTCTTGAGATATAGCCTACAGCAACATGAAGGTTGCGACCCACGACATAAATTCTGTTATCACATGCATTGACAGCAAAAGGTTTGCATATCTGCTCGGGTAATGGGGGACCTTCTATCGTTTCCCAGGAATCACTGTCTGGATCATAAACCTTAAGCTTCATTCTTTCGAGCTCAGAAACCACAAATAAGTGCCCATATACCACCACACTTGAGCCAGTCCACCCTTCTCTCAATCCCACAGCCATACTCTCCCAATTATTAGTTCTTGGATCATAAACCTGACCCCTTGGAGAGACAAAGAATGGCCACAACCAGCCTTCTGTCACAAGAAGCTTTCCATTGAGAACTGCAGAATCATAAGATGCCATATTTGTGCCCATGCTTGCAATTGGGTGCCAACTCCCCTTTGTTGGATCCAAAACCTCTGCCGAGTCAAGCTCGAAAAGATCTGCACTGTTTCCCCCAGCCACATATATCAACCCATTAATCATGCCACTTGCAAAAAATGACCTAGCAGTAATCATCTTATTCATCACAGTCCAACGGTTTTTTTGAATCTCATACTTCAACACCAAGTCAAGAGGGCAATCCACATCAGAGACCATACCCCCACAAACAAAGAGAGCAGCCTTGCAAGGAATTGAAACGCACCTAAAGCCATGGGGACAAACTTTATCTTTGCACGGCATTGCTGGAATAGTATGCCAAGAGAAGTGGGTCAGGTCAAGAACCTGCCACTGAATTTTCCCGGTGCCTTTGTGGAAGGCAAACACGAAGAGCCATGGGTCTTTGAAACCTAATTCCTTCCTTCGGGTAAAAAACCGCTCTTTATTACCAAGCAGAAGATGCCATCGCTTGCTTACAGCTCTGCAAGCTGCATGGCTCTCAACTGGAAGCCGAAGGAGACAATTAAGGGCAACATCATCAGGAAGGCCTGGAATAAGTGGTTCTCCTTGAAGTGACAGCTCAAACTCTGATGAAGGGTTCAACAATGAAGATTGAATCACAGCTAATCTAAATTTTGGGGATAATGTCATCTGAGAATCCCCTAGCTTATGCACAAGCGCTTGTTGGGACGATAATCGAACCCTTTGCATCTTTCTCTGAAAACACAACAATCTAGATTCCTTGAAGACTACCCAAAGGATCTTGTTTCAGCTTGAAATTTCCAGTTATTCTTTGTCACCAAATTTGATTTACTTAGATCAAACAACTTAAACATCCAAATTCCAATCAAAACTTCAAAGAATCTATTCCAAGTTGGCTGCTTGTTCGTTCACACTCAACAGAGCAAGCGAAGAATTCTTATAACTAAAATTGCAGTAGCACCTAAAAGAAAATCATGTTTCCCCTTTACACAAAATCCTTACAAGACTTGATCATAAGCCACCGATAAAAGCCCTTCCTGAATGATCCAAACTTAAATTCCTATGCATCAACTGCAACAACTTTAACTCTTTCTCTTTGTATACACCACTGTGGCCTATCAAGATACCTACTTGAGGAATCTAAAGGTACTAAATATCATGCCCAGGCAGAGAGAAACATAATCTAATACTTAAAAAGCCCCCCCCCCCCCCCCCCCCAAAAAAAAAGGTGTAAAGAAAATCAATAGCCCATATGGTAATACCTTGAACAGAGCACCAAACAATCTAAACCTTTGCTCCTACCCAATAAGAAAACAAAAAACCCATAAAACCCTGCCATATATCTCATAAAAAATGAAGTATTTATAGCTAGCAGAGATTGATAATTTAGAAAAGAGGCTAAACACATAAAATATTTTGTCCTCTATAGCTTAAAAACAAACAAGAGACCATAAAGAAGAAGAAAGCGAGAAGGGAAACCGATATGTTAGACTTACAAAGAAGGATTTTTCTTGAATAGTTGCTATAAAGATGGTGACTTTATAGGAGATTTAACTCTGGTTTTAGCATGAAAGAGGTGACCCCCTCGTTCCACCGGATTATTCTTCTTAATATCAAAGGTATAGGGTTATTATATTATTTACTGCGATACCGGTGGCTAACAAAGGGTTGATGATTCTGTGTGGGCCCATTAAAACCACGCGCTACATAAGAAATCCCAAAATGTGTCTAGAAAAGAATGAGCAAAAGGGTTGGCAACCAGTTGAACACGCGCTGTTAACTGCGGGTGTTGAAAGTTAAAACTGTTTTTGTAGGTCCCGAGCCTCAAGCTTATAAAGGAAGATTAAAGTTCAAACCCGAAGTGCCAAACGCGTAGTTTAGGCTAATCAGAAAAAGATTAAAGTTGGATAATCAACAGTGAAAAGAACTGGACAAATGCTATCAAAGAAAAAGACAAAGCAAACCAATGACAATCCGTTTAACAAGTTTTGGTCTTAACGAAAAACTTGAGACTTTAAATACAACTCTACAGTGCTAATGAGTGGCCTTGGGCGTTTGGCTTGTATATTTATTTTATTTTATTTAGATTGTTTAATTCTACTCTTTGGGAAAGTTTGATAACTGGTCATGTCATGGACTCCAGAAAGATGTAACCAATATTAAATTCTTGATATGATATAATACACTGTACAATTATTTCTCTCCTATTATGCTGTTTTTCTTTTTTAGGGAAATGTTTGAATCATCCTTTTCCCTGAAAGCAGTCCATATCATATTTAATGGCAGTAAAAAAATAACCAAAGGTATTATCATGCTTTAGATACTTCATATATGTGTGTGTGTGTATATATATATATATATAATAACATTTTTCAGCTATAAAAGGAGTTCCATTAGGCATAAAGGAAAGAGGTTCCCCTAGCGCGGGGGGGTGGGGTTTCAGCATCCCACCGGGGAATAAAAGGCACAACAAGTTGCACTGCACGGGGATAAGGACAAAAACAGATTTTAAATTAGAAATTAAAAAAGAAAATCGTTTCCTAAAGATAAGGTTCAGATACTTACCGCCACCTAGCCATCCTTTTCAACCTTGCTTCATTTTGCCAACTAATATTATCTTATGGGGAATGTAAACAATAAAAAATTTTAAAATGAAAATGCAAATTTTATCTCACATTCGGATTATTCAAATTGCTAATTTTTTTTTCCTCAAAATTTTGACATTTCTATATCTTAATTTTGATCTAATTTTCACAGGGGCTGGTTGCATGGAAAGTAGGAAAAAATCTTGGTTGAAGTCAGGCACTTTTGACTCTTTTGAGGCTCACACAAGCCCAACCAGCTGCTTCATTTATGAGGCATAACATTGTCCTACCGTTACTGGAACTTTCAATTCAATGCATACTTTTTTCTTCAATGTGGGAATTTTCCTTTTTCCACTTTTTTTTTCTCTTTTTTTCTTTTTTTTTATATCAAAATGAAAAAAGAAATCTTCTGCAAAAGGGGAAGAACAACAAAGTCAAAATGATTGCTCAAAATCATTCCTAATTGGGATTCATGAATAGTTTAATGTTATATCATATAACAAAAATTCACAGAATGGAATGGAAGTTCACCACCTATGCCTACAAATAAGAAAAGGATGATGCAAGCCAAAATAAGTCAAACTCAAACATAAACTAAATTCTGGAGAGATCACTTCTCTTCATGAAATTTGTACCAGTTCACTGAAAGCTTCTGAAGTCATCATTATCATCACCATAAACTAAATCTTTGAAAAAAATTTAGAAAATGATGACAGGTACTAGTCTATGTATGCATATTGATATGATGACTCTAAAATGATCATAAATGATAGTAACAGCAATTGAAGAGAAAAATCTAAGGGTAAATAGAAAATTTGAGAACAAAACCAATTTCATTCTCAAGCAGCAGCTGCTCACCAAAAGCACCCAAGGCATCATGAAACTTGCTTGGAAAACCAATAATATCTATACAAATTAATCCCTTTAACTTATGATTCAAATCTTTAAGCCAAATGAGTCAAAAGTGATACAAAAATTCCCTATGGTCTCACCTCGTCTAATTTCTACTGAAAGATCTGATTGTGGGAATTTGATTTCAGCACTAAATTACAAGTAGGGATTGCAGGCGACCTCACAGGCAGTGCGCTTGAAAGTTCAGTTTTGGTTTACTGCTGAGATGATGCAGCACACCTTCACTACATCACACCATCTGACATTTTGTATTTACATTAGAGGCCAAGCTAAGTAGCATCAAACAAGTTATACCAAGAAAATTATCATAAAGACATCCGCATCTCTATCTAATTATTTCCAATCACTCTGGACAGAAACATTTTCCAAGAACAGAGAAAGATTCCAATCCATAAGCCATTGCTCTAAATCTAATGACTACTCTAGAGCAGTTGCAGTAGTGCTGATAATGCTAAATAAATAATAGAGTTAATAGGAAGAATATAAACTGCTCCACACACGAGACAATAACTGTAGGCGATAATGCTAAATATTAACCTTCAACCTAAGCTTTGTTCCCTTGCATCTGCATTCAGACCTAAAAGTATAAAACAAATCTTGTTTTTCCAGTTCCAATTGTTTCTTCTCCCTCATGTCTACATATTTCTATAAAAACCAATCATAAGAACATAGTTACAAGTTTTCAAATTCAAATCCTTGTTAAGCAAGGAAACGATTAATCAAACTCCTTTACCAGTTCCAGTTGTTTGCTCTACCTCATGTTAACATTTTTCTATAAAAACCAATCATAAGAACATGGTTACAAGTTTTCGAATTCAAATCCTCATTAAGCAAGGAAAAGATAAATCAAACTCCACAATCCACAAGAAATTTCCTAATAAATTACTTTATAAAATTTAACCAAACTGCAACTTGTACATAGTTCAGCAGTACATAGAAACAACATCTTCCTTTTAGAGGGGAGGGAGGGGAGGGCAAGAGTGACCATTCCTTTATTCCTTCATTACTATTTATTTATTGTAAAGAGAAACACACAAGTCTAAAGATGCAGAGACAAATCTACATCTACTGGACCTTCCTCCTCAGCACCACAAGTTTCCGATGCAGAAATTGAATCATCAACATCCATGAAGAGTGATAGCTCTTTTTTCTGAGGATTCTTGGGTTCCACATGTTCAGTGGGGGCAATCCTAGGTTTTTTCGATCCATTCATTACGTCGGCACCACCTGATCCATCTGCTAAGTATGGCCTCTTACCTTCTTCACACGTCAACAAACTTCTCCTGTCATATTGACCAACTTTATCCACGCTTGAGCATGGATGAGGACCTGGTGAAAAGGCACAAACAGCAATAGATTCATTGAACCCAGGAAACTGGTATGACCCAAAACCATGGTCAGGGTTAGTCATAGCAAACATGTGATTTGGAAGCTTACTAAGATTATAACCTTGAACGTTCAGCAAGGCATCTCCAGAGGATGGTGGCAAACCATCCCGGCTAATCCGAAATTCATCAGTATTAAACTGACAGCCTCCATTTGTGCCCAAATATGATGAAGAATCTGTAGGAAAGCCAGTGGCTACAACACTACCAGATGAAGCAAATGCAGCAGGAGACATGACTGCATTGGCACCAGCTGAAGCAAATGCTCTTGAAGCTAGACTGTGATGAGTTGAACCACTACCACAGCCATATGATAAGTCTGAAGACATGATAAACTGAGTTTGGGAAACTCCAGGATTGCTGCCAGTGTATTTGCTCCTACTTGCCTGGTTTATTTCATTTGAGTAGAACATCCTAGAGAAGTCAAATGGAGGTGGTGCTCTAGAGAATGGAGTCGGGTTGTTCCCCCCTCCCGAGGAGTTCTGTTGGCTGTTTGGTAGGAGTACAGGAGGGTTCCTAGTAATGTCCATGGAATTACTGGAACGACCAGGATAATTCAAGGTCCTCGATGTCTTATCCTCCTGATGAATCCTAAGGTGGCCACCTAGAGCTCGATAGTTGTTGAACACTTTGTTGCAATAGAAGCATGATTTAGTGCCTGCATGCTTCTCTGCACCTTCTCTAGCCAAAAGGAAATTCATAGTAGAAACTGAGAAAGGAATGCACGATTCAGCTCCTTTCAAGAAGAGGTCGAAACTAGCTAGCTAAAGGAAACCTTGTGATGGGGAAGAAGGCATTGTTTCTTAACCCATTTTATAGCCCTTTCAGGGCAAAGAACTAGGTCCTAGTGGTTCACACCAATTAATGTAAACGACAATCCTAATAAAAGCCATTTATGAAAAGAAACCAGAGAAAGCATAAATCGGAAAAAAGGTTGCCAAAGGAAAGATCCATACTTAAACAGCTTTAAAGCGGCCTTGTCCGCAATAACCCACATTTAGAATAGTCATAAATGGCCATGGAAAGAATCAAATCTTGCAAAACAAATGTCAAGACCGTGTAGAAAGGACACCAACTCACATAAGGTCATAAAACAATCTGGCACATAATTTTTGAGTGTCAGTTAAGGGGTTATTTTGGAACATGAAGTAAAATATAAAAGGAAACCGGGTGCATCCATGGCCCACTCTCAATGTCAATCTACGTTGGCTAGACTTAGCATCAGTGTTGGCTCATGTTCAATGTAAGAATGTTTAATTTTCTTAATTTTTTCTCAATTTTAGAAAGTCATACCAAAATATCATTGTCCATTCAAGGTATCGAATGCATCTGACATTACTAAATTATGAGAAAGAAAAGAGCTGGAGTAATAAAGGTCATCATTGCTACATATTAATGATCTAACCATACCCAGCAGCTTCAAAATTGTCCACTCTAGAATGTGCAAGATTTAGACTAGTGAGTTGAAGCTCAATTTAAGTCCTAAAAAGATGCATGTATTGCACAGAGAATTGCCACAAACACCTCACTCTTAATGCATTGAAATCATAAAATCCAGTAAATACAAGGCTATGCTATATCTATTACAATTATATGATTGTTCTTAGCGCTGAAACAACCCCTGTAGATCCAGAATCATTCACGAGAGAGTAGCGAAAAATGCACTAGCAAATAAGACCTAATAGATATGAGTTTCTTCTTTCATTTTACACTCTTTTCTTAAGGTAAATTGCTTTTCCAGAAGAAAGCCGAAAAGCAGCCATACAAAATGTATCGAAGGGAAGCCCACTGACAAGCACAACAATTAACTCCCAAAGGGGAAGATTTCCTAAATACACAGCATTTTAGGAAAAAGCACACAATACTACCAGAGATCACCCAAGTACAACTCTTTTAACGAGACTTCAATAAAGACCAGTTGAACCTATTTGTAAAGCACTAAACATTCATTCATTGGAACCCCCTTACGCTAATCACTTCACTCTTTACTGTTCACCGGACCTTTAATAAGTATAACTTTATGGTCTTTCCCACTAAAACTATAGTTGATATCATATTCTTTTAATCTGATTCACAATCACAGTAGCTTCTTTCTCCTTTACCCATCCAATTGACCCTACAAAGTAAATTTTGCAGAGCTTTCAATTTAATTTTTCACATAATTCTTAGCATTTTCCACAGGCTACCAACATGTGTTCCTAGCCCTAGAACATCCAAAAATAATCCAGCATTGGAACTACTGTTGCCAGCAACCACAACTAATCTAGATCTTTTTATAAAATAATAGGAAAACAATGAAGCAAATGCACAACAAGAAGATGGGGTTGGAAGGAACCTAACGGTAAAACTAGATAAACATTAAAGCAAATTGGGAAAGCAGATTTGAAGATACTCAATTAAGAGTGGAAATAAAATTGCTTTAACAGAATTTGATTAGTCTAACAAAATTAGATTTAGATACCAACTGTAACTTACTTACCAAGAATAAGGATGGACTAGGAATCAGAGGTCCAACCCACAATCGATCATAACTGATACCTGCAATTATGCAAATTATGTATTGCTAAAGATAAGCAAGATTTAGAATTTTGGACAAGAAAATATCCACACTTATTGAAAAAAACCGAAAAATCACTTTTAAAATTACTCACATTCTTACAAGAGACCCCAAACTGGATATCATAAATCTGAGAATATCTTATTAACCAACATCAAATATATAAAAAAAAAATCCAGCAACCAGTACTTATCTTCACCTCAACCAATCATTCCCCATTGTTTATTCCCATAAAAAGTTAGAGGGCATAGGGTTTTGACAATCAGATAAACGAGGGAAATACCATTTTTTTCCCCTTATCTGATCTTTAATTCTCATCTTTACTGGTAATTGTTGGTTTTGCCTCAAATAAGGTAGAAACAAGAAGGGGGCAGTTTAGTTTTATCACAGCTTCAATATATAGATAATTTCCAATAAAAATATAGTAATGTTATGTGTTTCTATGAGGAATATGAAAACTCAAAATCCCATTTTTTTCACTTTCTTGGAGAGACAAACTTTTTTCACAACTAGACAATTAGAATTCCTTGCAGCTTGTCTTGCTAAAGTCCCATTTACAGATACAACAACAGACAATTTCCACAAATAGAAACTTCAAAGAAATAAAAAAAAGAGAAAAAAACTTCCCAATAAAAGAATATCAAAAAACATTCCCAATACCCTCATATTCACCCAAAAGGTAAAAGAAAATAACTATTACAACTGTTGGAACAATGAAATAAAGCTTCTTACCATGGGAAAACTCTACAAGAAATGAGAATTCCTCATTTTGAAGGAAATACCATGCCCAGTTACAGAGCTGTCGATGGATGGATAGAGAGAAAGAAAGCTAAAACCACAGAGCAAATTCATAAGCACTTCTTCTTTCTTCTTATTTCCATTGAGGGCGCCACAGCCCATGAGTCCATCCATTTCCAAGAGAGGTAGATAAATGGGCTTCTTGCAGGTTATTTGGGCCCTCAATCTAATAAAACAGCCAATGATTGGGCCTACAATTTAATCAAGATTGATTGATACATAAAACACAAACCCAAGTTGACGACCTGAAGGTTTGCAGGCCAAACCCAGAATCAGAACGCTTGAAGCTTGGAACAAAATATGTATTCGCCTTCTTTCTACACTCGGTTGATTAATCTACGCGCATGTTTTTGAAAAGTATCTAAGCACATGTAACATGCCATCTAAAAATCAACAAGATTTTTACTTTTTGGGATCTCTTAAGTTATCATTTCAAAAATTAATTTTTTTGCGTGAAGGCACCGAAAAAATCCATAAAATTTGGTCGAAGCAAATGGCAAATGGCAAATGGTTAGTGGAATGTCACCAAACATGACAGAAACTTATGTTTGTACTGTATAAGGTTACATTTCAAAGACATTTTTGACTTATTTTTTTCTGATCCATTTACTTTGATGATGACCACCACATTAATCTTGATGCGTAGTAGTATTGTCATCAAATTATGTGATATCATTTCATGAAAAGACATAAGTTCAGGTAGCTGCAATGAACCATGCGCCTGATCATGGGCATTGCCATTTACCTCCATGAAAGCATGTGATACTTTTTGCTCCTTTTGGATTTGGGCCATTATTGAGTTTTCTTTAAAGAGAATTGTCTCAAGTAGACCTACTTACAAAGATTAGATTTACATTAATTCAAAGCAGAGTTTAAACAAAAGAATTTTACCAGGGGGCTAGATTTGATCCATTGGTAATGCCAAGGGTACGGTTTCCTTTTTTTTTGTTTTTTTATTCCTCTTACCCTTTATTTCATGTACATAAGGGAAGAAAAAGAACAATTTTTAATGGGATTAATCCCACTTATATGCAGCCACAATGGCCTACATCTACCAGCGCCTTTGATATTGGTAGGAGAACCATGTGACACTTTGACATTTGAATGGAAGGGAAAAGTTTTAAACCATAGGTTTTGTTTAGGAAAATTCCAACTTGCATATCGCCTCAAAAGTCAATAATTCAGACAGATTGCAAAATAGTAGGCGTTGACACAAGTACTCTCCATACGTTTCTTCTGAAGTGCCATCACTAGGGCTTATTGGTTTGGCTATTTTTCACAAGATTATCATCTACAATCAAACAGCTTTTTGGAATCAAAGCAAGAATATCGATTAGACGGGAAAAAGTTTCTTCGCCAGTCACGATTATAGCATGCATCAAAAGAAAGAAAAAAGTCAATTGAGTTTTATCAAGAATAATAAGATTGATAGCGAAAGCCCTACAGATACTAGTTGATAACATGACATGGAAGGGAAGAAATGACAGAGTTGGATCATTTGTTAACATGTGGAGATCGGATTGAATTATCTTGGTATTGCGAAAAAGGGCAGAAAGGTTTTAATTGAAACTTTTGGCAGTCTTTGAATGTTTTGTAGCTAAGGAGTGCTGCAATGTAACCTCTTGACGTGGACTAATCGATCTACCTGGGATGCAACTTGGCTGTTCCAGATAAGCTCACGACTGACTTTGAACGAATCTCAATATGCATGGCATGCTTTTTCCATGGAGAGATATGAATAAAGCTGAATCTGCAAATTGTAGGAATCTTTCACACATTTTTCTCCTGAGCTATTAATTCGGGAATTAATGCATGGGGCACAAGCAGACGCATCGGAGCCAATGTCTTTGATGACTAACATATATAGCTAAAATTGGTGAGAGGCTAATATAAGGATTTTGAATATTGTTAAATTACAAGGAAGTTGTCATTCATATCTATAATCTATTTATTATCTATATGAGCTTCATTGCACACACATACATGATTTAGCGTCCTTCAAACATTGCCATGTCAAGAATTAATGAAGACGCATAAGGTGGATTAATATTTTAAATGCAGAATCTGCTTTGAATTTGGAGTTCAAACGTTTCTGATTATGTAGGTTTTGTGCAAATTGTAAAGAACGTTAGGTAAAGTGGCTGGTTATAATTTTTGCTGTGTACTGGCCACTTACTTACAGGGGAGTGACAGAGGGTCATATTTTGATGTATAGTTGAGCTTCGTTTTTGTATAGTTCGTTATGGAATTGTAGAGTTATGGTGAAAGCACAGGCGAGTTATCATACGTCAAAAGAAGTTTTTAGCAAATAGGATAGAGACTTTGGTTGGCACAAGAGCTCTAGTGTTAATGAAATCTCTTTTCAAAAAAAAATTAAAAACATTGTTGATCAAATTCAGTATGAGTGGAAATTGGAAAGAAATTTAGGACCTACCCTTTGACGGAAAGTTATATAAATAAATAAATATATATATATACCCTTTGACGGAAAGCTATATAAATATAAATATATATATTTATCTATTTCCACTGGCCTACTTCTTGAAATATTGGAGGATCACTTTTATAGAAAACGGCAAATCATAGTCTAATAAGATGTGTAATTTCCCATTGCAATAGAAGACCAAATTAATGGTCTGGTTCATGGTATCAGGACAAGAATATCTCTTGGTTACTTAGCCAAGAAAGCAAATTTGAAGAGTCATGGAATGGAGATGGAAAAGCAGTAGTAGCAATAGTAGTAAAACAAATTTTAAGGAATAACGTGCAAAACTCTTGATTGGAATATTGCGTGATTGTTTAAAACACACTTATCCTCACATTAGATTCCCCATAAATCATGAAAAACTAAGAAAAAAAAAATCTTGCAGCTTCGTCGGGTTTGATTTTTATTCCTTCTCCTGGAATGTCCCATTTGTGGAAGATGCTATCCTTTGAAATGAAGAATTCAACCACCTCACATTCTCCCCATATTATATGCATACCATGTGCTACCAAACGCAATCCCATCATGGCTCTCTCTCTCTCTCTCTCTTTCTTTATGAACCAACCTTTGTCTAATTCTCATCTTTGACTATATATTGTCTTCTGATTATACTGGCTTGCTTTTCTTCTCATTTCCCTTGTTAAAACAATACATTTATACCTAATTGATGGATTTTGTTTTCACACATACCTTGATCATGATTTTCTAGAAGTGTTTGACCCTCTTTTTACCAGTGCATGCACATAAGAGCAAGAAAGTAAAGTAATAGCAAGAAAAAAGGAGAAAATGGAGGACCCCTCTTACCCACTTTTAGAATTTATTTCCTCTTTCTCTCTCAGTTTTTTCTTCCTCGTTTTTTCTAAAGCAAATAGCTCATCTTTAGATTTTAATTGCATAAGCCTTTGTCAACATAGGAAAACCAGATAATAAATTTTATGGCATTTGCCTTTAATTTGTGTACAAGAATTATATGGCATTTGAGAACTTGAAAAATGGGTGATAGAATTAGGTGGGTATGGCAGTTGGTAGTTTATTTCTGGTCAGTCAGATCAGTTAGGGAATTGCCAGGGGTTTTTTTTTTTCTTTTCTTTTTGGGTGCGGCATTTTTTTTATTATCTATAATATGGTATTGATTAAAGAAATGGATTAAAGAAAAAGAGGACCACATGATTTGTATCCCAATTCCCATACATTATTCACTAGTAAGTGTTGGGGGCTTTTAAAAAAATTCAATAATCTATGGAGTAAGAAATGAATTAAGAGAAGGAACTATTAGTCAATCGGCAATTATCAAATACCTACATTTTGATTTGCATAATCTTACCTGCCAGACCATTTCACCAAAGAAAGAAACGATAATATTAATCTGACTAATCAGATCATCAAGCCCTATAAGTAAACTCTCTCTCCATATGATGTAGAATTCCTTAGTTTATCTTTATTTAATTAGTTGTCCAATGAGATCATTATGTCTTTATTTGATAGACTTGCCCAAGAAAACAAGATAACAAAATAATAATAATAATAATAATAATAATAATAATAATAATAATAATAATAAAGGGTGAATTGACATCTTAAAGGGTGTAGAAACCATTTTCTCTTGATGGACAACGAAGTTAAGGTGAAAAAAGTTAAGTTTTATAATCTAATGAAAATAAAAAATTAAGAATATACGGGACCTCAACTATCCAACTATTTAATTATATATGAAATTCTCAAAACGACGTCATATTTAATTTAGAATTATTACATATCAAAAGTTGATCTAATAATTGTTATCCTCTTCCTTGAGGGTTTAAGTCTAACATTTTTTTATCCCCTTCTTCCATTAGACTTCCTATGATATCCAAAAATAGCATCTCAACCATTTAGTTAGAGAAAACATTAGTTAAAATTTTATTTGTCATATTAGTATGAACTATATATTTGATTAATTAATCAGTTAACCTCAAAAGCTAATTGAGTCAAGGATTATTAACGCACTGAAATTTGAATCAAGCTTAGATAGAGCAGTGGAGTTGAGCGCCAATAGTTGTAAGTCCAGTATTCCTTGTGCATCCATCCCTGCATTTTTTTCACTTCATGTTTCAATTACTTAATTTATAAAAAATTAATTAATTAAGTTTCTTTTTGTTTTTGTGGGAGTATGCTTCTTCATGCTTATCTATATTTTAATCCGACGCCTATGGTTGATGATGCGGTTATATATATCTTGTTTGAGAAAATAAATAATTTAGAGATACTCTACAGTAATCATTATTAATTCATCTGCAAGATGCACTATAGCTAGATATTTTTCAATGAAATTTAGAAATACTACACTAATCATTATTAATGCATCTGCAAGATGCACTATAGCTAGACATATTTCAATGCAAATTATGCCAGATTTTTTTCATTCATGTTACAAATTGCGCATTTCATGTGCCAGCAGCCATCAATAATGATGGCAGCCAACTTTAATTTCACGATTAGTAGTGGTTTAATTAGTACTTGGGCCATGTCTAGCTTTTAATTACTATGAGAAGTTTGGAACAAATGAATTTGACCTCATTTATATGTGCTCTCTCCAGGATCATTGAATCTAGGCAAAGGTCTTTCATTTATATTTCTCAAAAGAACCAGAAATTACTTAGAACTGACTTAGAAGCTCAAAAGCATTCCTCAGTAAAGCTTTGTTCGACCTACAACCATATAA